TTTGTGCTGGAACATTAATTCATGAAAAATATGTTTTAACAGCTGCACATTGTGCTTATGATATGATGGATGGTTCACTGATTTCAAATTATTTTATTGTAGTCGGTACTCATTATATTAATGATACAAATCCAATTCGTTTTAAAATCAAATCTGTAAGATTACATAAACAATATGATGATGATTTATATTCATATGATATTGCACTATTAGAACTTTCACATAAAGTTGATTTAACTAATGCAAATGTTGGACTTATTTGTTTACCATCAACAAATAATTCTTTATATCCATATGAACAAATGAATAGTATTGTAATTGGTTGGGGACGTTTAGCTGAAAATGGTCCTGCATCATATGAACTTCAACAAGTTCAATTACCGATTATATCGAATAGAAATGAATTTTGTATGAAACAAATAAGTGATGAATTTATACAATTCTGTGCAGGATTTATTGAAGGTCAGAAGGATGCATGTCAAGGTGATAGGTATTAAAAAAGGATTGAAATAGACGTTTGAATTCTTTTTTTTTTTTGATTTATTTTAGTGGAGGACCATTGATGATTTATGATACTGATACGAGTACATGGCATATTGCTGGAGTAACTTCTTACGGACATGGATGTGCTAGAGAAGGACATCCAGGTGTATATACACGAGTCAGTGTACTTATTGATTGGATTAATACACATATAAATTCATCAAATAAACGACTGTCTATTAATGTTGTACTATTTTTATTATGTATATTTGTGTTTTTTTTATAAAGCATTGTTCAGATTGAATTGCTATTAATAGTTTAGAAAAAAAAAGCTTTCAAAAAGTTCACAAAGTTTTTGTTATACGATTTTTATTAATATTAATAAAGATGTATTAGGCAAAAATAAGATATAACGCCATTCGATACAGTTATATGTATCGCTTAAGCATTTAATGATGGAAGACGGAAAAAACCAGGTTATAAAGTTGCATCAGCTGGACGACCTTGCAAAATATCGAAAGGTATACCGGTAGGAAAATTCAACCAATGTCCTAAACCATTTATTTCTTCAATAGGGTTACCATTTAACGGTCGGAATTCTTGAGGCTGTTTATTATGAGTATTTGAATCAGTTGGTGCTGGAAATACAACAACGAGTAAAGCAGTCTGAAATAAAGATGAAGACAAAATAAGAAATGTAAGAATAATTGTTGATTTCATCTTATTGTCAATACTCGAATAGAATAAGCTGATAAATTTCATTTATATAGGCTGATTTTTTGTAGAGAATCATATCTGACTTTATGCCCTACGATTAAATGACGTAGTTTTTCGAACTACATGCATGACTTCTTATGAAAAGTGTTAAATAATCATTCGTAGTTTATGTAAATTAGAAAATAATGTATCGATGAAATAATTATACGTAAGAATATATGAATTTTTATTTTACTTTTAAAAGAATAGTACATCGCTTGATCACATGTTTAATTTAGCACAAAAATAGATCAACTCGATAAAATTTTATTACATCATTCTGTCTAATCAAGACAAAGTTTATTTAATAGAATATATTGACTTTTCTTTTTTTTTCGTTCAATTCTACTTTTTTCTTTTCTTATAGTATCATATTGAATTCGGTGAACACAATGAACAAGGATGGAGGAAGTCGGACATATAAACAGTTGTTGCACGTTACTTGCATACGGTCAACATTTAACGTTATTCATTATTAGAATAACGTAATCGGGTCCTCCATTTACAACAAAAAAACGATGACGACGAACGAGAAATCTGAAGAAAAAGAAGGCGTCTTTTTTTTCTCTTCTCTTTCTGTCATAATGTTAAAGAACAGGACAAAAGTAAAAGAAATAATTATAACTTGAAATAGATTCTTACTTCTCTCTCTCTCGCTTTCGAGAGGTTTTTTTTACTTTAAAAGTAATATGTCACCATAAAAAATATGTCAGCCGACAAATATAGTTGGTTGATGTATAAAAAAAAACGAAAAATTTAAAATCAAATCATGTTCAATAATTTATTACTACAATTCATTATTTTTGATTTTATAATTATTAATTCGGATAGTAAATCTCAATCAAGACAATATCAAAATATTTTTAATAATCCACAATTTTATTATCAACAACAACAGCAACAACAACAACAACAACAATTATCAGTCGATGGTCAAAAATGGTTTTATTCATCAAATCAACAACCAATAGCTTATTCATGGTATTGGACAAATAATGATGTACCATCATCGAATTTTTATAAAAATTCTCTATCATTACAACAAACTAATCAATTAGCAAATTGGGCATGTGGAAGAAGTCAAGTAACAAATCGATTTGCACGTATTATGGGTGGACAAGATGCTGTACCTCATTCATATCCATGGATGGTTTCATTAGCTAAACGATCTTTAAATAATTTGCATTTATGTGGTGGTGTTCTTTTAACAAGACGTCATGTTTTAACTGCTGCACATTGTATGGAAGATTTTAAAGGTGTTTCAGATATGAATATATTAGCTGGTATTCATTATATTACTGAGAAAAAACATTCTATACCAGCATT